GAATAATTAAGAATAAATGTCCTCTGGGATTTATTGAATAATTAAGTGAATTTGCTACACAATACAAGTAATACCATAATTAATTTACCTCTTAGCACAGCCAACGTACATTACGCAGATAGACTGGAATTTTCTTGAAACACACCTGGAAAACCTGGAAAAGTCAGGGAATTTCATTCTCCTGTTTGAGTGGCAACCCTGTGACATCTGTGCATATGTATGTATCTTGCATAACTAAAAACTGTAGAATGTTGAAATTTTGTTTTTAGGAATGCTATTGCACCTGATTGTGCATCTCTCTGTTTCATTGCAATTGGGTATTCCAAAAGGACACTTTGCTTAAAAGGTTTTTTTGAATTTTTTGCATAACTCAGAAATGGCTAGCTGTAGAAATGTTGATATTTTGTATATAGGACTGTTATCTAATTGTGCACTGTTCTGATTTTTATTTCTTTGTACGAAGCAAAGGAAGTATTGTAATTGTTGAAATTTTCAGTTTTCATTGGAAATATCTATTTTCATCATTTCCGAATCCATTTTGACTAGTTCCATCGTGGAATTTTCTCAAAAGACACCTGGAAAAGTCAGGGAATTTCATTCTCCTGTTTGAATGGCAACCCTGTGAAGATGTGTAAACGTTCATCTGACATACTTCCAGATCATGTTTGGCAGCTACTAAAGTGAGCTTTATTTGTATAGAGTTGTAAGAAACTATGAGAGTTTCCGTAATAGTTTGATCTGTACTTTAGCGAGCAGCCTTTGGCAAAATATCTTGCTTTGTACTGATCGACTGTGCCATCTGCCTTTTGCTTTATTCGGAATACCCATTTTCATCCGACGGCTTTTCTGTTCTGTGGCAAATTGTTTAATTCTAACGTATTGCTTCTCGTTAAGGATATGTATTCTTCTTGCATAGCTGCTTTCCATTTATTTGTATCTGATTTGGTTAAAGCTTCTTTTTTCTAGATATGCAGAAACTTCAGTTTACTAAATTAGCGTGTTTTTGATGATGGATTTTTCTTGGTTTGCCCAGTTTTCCTCTTTTCAGAAATGTAGGTTTTCCTGGTCTTCTTTCTGAATTTTGATCTTGAATTGTTTTATTCAGCATCTGCTCTCCTTTCTTTTGGCAGTTTAGAATTCTTGTTAGCTTCTGAATTTCCTTCAGTTGGAACAAATTTGATGAATTCTTGTTCAGCTGTTGAAGTTTCTGATCTTGCTTCATTTTCCAGCAATTGCAAAAATCTTGCATCACGAGTGTGCATGTGATGTTCTTTGTGTCACTTCACAAGTTCCAGGTTTCCATAGATGATAAGCTTTTGGTTCCTCAGAATATTCAGTAAGAATGTATATATTCTCCACTTTTCAGGAGAAATATATTTTTCTTATTTGAATTGGTTAATGCAAAAGCTTTGCTTCTTATGATCTTGAAATGCGATACTATAGGCTTTCTTTTAGATTATATTACTTCAGGCATTTTTGTTCTGCTTGTAGTAGGACATCGGTTATGAACGTAAGCAGCTATAATCCTTGGGGTAATTTTAATTTGAATAGTAGATATCTGGCCATTTCTAATAGGGTATAATTGGCACGTTCTGCAGCTCTGTTCTGTTGCGATCTCAACTGAAATAAGGTGTTTAATGCCTTCTCTTTTCTAAGAACTGATTACCGTAATTTCTGGAAGAAAGGCCGCATCAGCATAATAAAAATTACACAGAAATGCCGCATCAGCTTAAACGTCGCAATAGATTAAATTGTGCATGACATCGTCGTGGGCCGTATTGATGCAAAATCTCAACCTATGTCCTGATATATGACATATCAGTAAAGAAAAATGCATGAAATGAAACCATAATTCAAAAATAAATTAAAGGTAAGAAATGTTGAAAATATATTTACGAATATACTTATATTTACCCACTAAAGAAGTCCATATTTATAATACTCAGACTATATTATAAAAAAAAAAATGTTGCAACAACGAAATATTAAATTTGGATGACAAAAGGAAATTTTAAATTTTACTTACAAAAGGAATTACAGCAAACTATACATCATATGAAGCCATCAAAATCTGGTTATTCACTATCTGAATTAAAAAGATTTAATAAATCCTGATCTAAGTAAAAGTCTTCCAGATCTTCACATTCATTCACCACCAGGAAAGGAATTACAGCAAACTATACATCATATGAAGCCATCAAAATCTGGTTATTCACTATCTGAATTAAAAAGATTTAATAAATCCTGATCTAAGTAAAAGTCTTCCAGATCTTCACATTCATCCTTTTGGTTTACAGTCTCTTTATCTAAGGATATAATTTCAGCTTCTTTGAACCCTGCAATTATTGACGATGTTTTTACCGATTTCCACACACTTCCTACCCACTTTGCAACTTCTTCATAAGATGCTCTACGCATTTAACCGCTTTTGGTATACGTATGCAATCCTTCACTCTCCAACACTCCCACCGCTTTCTGACTTCAGCTTTGAAGGATTTATTACCTGACAAATCTCTAATGGTTGTAAGATTTTTGTCAAACCACCAGGAATTATTGCTATGGTCGTAGACTATTTTTGACATTTGTTTTTCACTGACTTAAGTAAATGAGCACATATGGAATCCATTATCAATAACCCTTTTGGTTGGAAAAAAGATCTCTTACGACACTGCCAAACCTTTTGTATCCACTCATACATGATTGTTTCGCACATCCAGTTCTCGTTTGCACAAGTAATTACGTCATTAGTTTTTTTGTCAATAATATCTGTCACATATTTTAGAAAAGATGCCTTTTTATCCTGCTAGTCCATTGGTAATTGTTGCCCGACTGTTGCTCTAGTATGCACAGAAATATTTTTCTTTTCATAAATCTGCTACACCAGCAAGGCCCTCTTTTGAAATCATTTATGTTCATTTGTTTTGCTATAAATTTTGCTTGTAAGCTAATTTTTACAGTCAAAATTGCCATTCCCTTTCCTTGTTTCTCCTTTATCCAGTTTGTAAGGTCGTCCTCTAGATTTGGCCACCTAACAGTACCATTTCTTTTGACTCGTTTCTGTTGTGGCATATTTTTAAGTTCTTTTTCAGTTCGCCAACGTTGAATACATCTCCCGCCCACTTCAAACTCTCGAGCTGCTGCTCTCTTTCCAGTATGTTCAGCACATGAAATTACATTAAGCAGTATAGCTTCTGTGCTGTTTAGGTGCCAGTTTCAAAAATTTTCCGCTCCCTTCTTACTTCAAAACTATCCAACAAGTACTTGTACCCAAACTGATGGGATCTGTATCTGGCAGAATGCCAAGAAAAATCGATTCATGTTGAAGGGGAAATACGTCAGAGTTCGTTATTGGGAGGCAGGTGGAGTCATGTCTGCCTTTGAAAAAAATTGCAGAAAAAGCAGGGGTGGGGAGAGGATCCTTACTAATTTAACTGAAATTAAGTTCAATTTTAGATTGTTAACATATAAATACATCATAAAGTGTCGTATGTTGTAAAGTTGAATAGACACTTGCATATATCTCAACTTTTTCTTTCTTTTTGACTTCTAGAAATGAATTATTTGCTAAGTGAATTTCACTTTGCATTTCAGTTATTGATGCAACTTTACTTCTGTTCGTTGCACATGTGTATGTTTGTGCCTGAATCAAGTGACCAGTTATATGTTCCTAATTCTCACGTTGTATTCACAATGCTGAGAGAACAACTTTGTTTAGAAGATTGTTGCTTTTATTTTTTCTGCATTCTGATTCTTTATGTCCTTTTCACGTACAGTTAGCACTTAAAGTTTTTCACATTTTTAGACTTCTCTTTCGCATTGCATGATATTTAGTAACTAATGCTTCCTGCACTTGGCTGTTTTCATATGCTTTAGACTGGCAACTTTTAGATTCTTCTAGTAACTTAACATGTAACATGTTTAAGTCAGGCAATTTGTCACAAGATTCTACTGTGATTCTAAAACTTTTGAATTGTTCGGTTAAGCTATGTAATAGTAAAATAGTTAGAAATTCTTCTGGAATTTCAGATCATATTTCTGCAAATTTTTCTGCAATTTCAAAGAAGTTGGATGGTCCCGTATTTTTTTCATTTGTGTTTATCTTTTTCGTGATAGTTGCTTCATAAGGCTAACTTTTGTAAAAGGATTTTTAGGCTAATGAAGTTCATGCGCTTTCATCTATATTTTGTAGGAAGTTTATCATTTTTTAATATGCATTACCTCAGATGATTTCATATCAGATCAATAATTGCTAAATATTTTTTGATCTTTTGAGACCTATTTGTCAAGTTTGGCTTGGTTAATTTCTGTCTTGATTGACTATCCACTCTTGAAAACTCTGAGTGGATTAAAACAATTTTCACTCAGAAGCACCATATTTCAAAGTTATTGTTATCCAGTTTTTCAATTTGAATATTCAGGTTCATCATTTTCATCAGTTACACACAATTACAGTAAAGAAAAGGAAGAAAGAAGTAATTTGCTAGCCTTGTTTTACACCAAAAGACCTTTCAGTTTATTGTTTTTGTTTCATTTTGTTGATAGTTACAGCATAAGAATTTAGAAAACAAAGTATTAGATAGATAAAAGACTTATAATTATTTAAAAATGGACTTTTACTTTAAAAGGGACTTTTACTGTATCCTAATATTTCAAAAAAGATTGCTGAATTAATAATTGTGTAAATATATGATGTTAATAAAAACTAATATTTTAACAACTGTCTAACTGTCCACTTCATTAAAGAATTGGAGGATTGTATCTCCCTTTCAAATTAAGTAAGTTTAAATGAAATGAAGCAAAACTTGTACAATTTATTAGGTGTCATCAAATTTTTTAAGTATATTGTTTACTTAGTAGCATCATGCAGATACAAAGCAAATAAAATATTGATTGAAATTATTATAGTACTATATGGTTTGTATGTATTAACTTTTTCTTTTTTAAATAATATGTAATTTTATCTTATTTTCTCCTTATCTTTTTTTTTTTCATACCATTAGATCTAAAGATTGGTTGAGAACTGCTGATTGTCTTCCCAGCATTGGTGCCATTTGTTGGAAATTTTTCTTACAGTTTTGCTAGCTTGGTACATCCAGTCAGCTGACTTAATTAGCTTGTTGTGTAATATGTAAATATTTATTTATAAATTGCAGTTCATTTCTTTGTAAAAAAGACTTTTAATGCTGTTACAATAAAGATTTCAGAGTTTGTTGTTTAATGGCTTATACATTTTTCTTTTAAAGTACGTTTAAGATGAGCATTTTTAAAAATTGAATATGGTAATATCTTTAGATATCTATGAATTTTGAAAATTTGGGAGCCATAAGCTAATGAATGTTTGTATAGATGCAAAAACTTGCATCTTAATTTCTAGGTTTGGCGTTATATGCAAAGAAATTGATTCCAATAAATTTTAAACTCATCTTACTCTTCTTTCAGTAGAAATGTCATCAAAAAATTAAATACTTTGTACATAGTGTTTTAAGCTGAATTATGATAGGATTATTAAATCTGCACACTAGGTGATAATTAACACATTGAATTTTTGCAGGGAAAAAAATGTATCTGCTTACGATATATTTTGCAATGATTTTTTTTTATTAGGAAAAAATTTATAAACTGAATGCCTGTAAAAGTTTCTGAGGTAAAATCATCTGTATTAAATGCCCATTTTGTGCTAATAAGACATTTTGCATTAATGGAAATAAACAGATCTTCCAATGCATGCAAAAACATAATTGCACATTCTTTTCAAATTAATGAGATTGCTTTTGTGTTTTCTATATGAATGTGTTTCTGAAAGTGATGGTTGTAAAATGATACCATGTCTTGTCAGGCATACTAATAATTTAGTTTTACCTCAAATTTTGAAGAAATTACTTTTTATTCAAACAAAATTTTCAGTTTATCAATGTGTTTATTTGTTTTAAAATATTCTACCTGAGAAAAAATATCTATCACAATTATTTTAATCCTAATTATATACACAAAATGTAATCTAGATCCATTGCTTAGAGAATTAGACAAAACTGGAGATCATGTTTTCTACAATGATCTCACTCAGTTTAACCCTTTGTGGCACACACAGAAAATTTGAATGAAGAGGGATTTATAGGTTACTCTGAACTTGCTTTATTTACACTAAACAAACCAGTCCATATATTTTAGCCTTATTTAATTTTTAAAGACCCTTTTTTTCAAAGAAATTTTCCAGATTTTTTTAGGATATAAAAGAACGTGTTTAAAAAGAAATTTCTATATTATTTTCTTAGGTGTATGCTAATCTCCTTATTCTATATTAGTTTTAAATTTTTACCTTGAAATCTTGCCTAAAACAGCAAACATCTGGTGTGCCCAGAGTGGGATCACTGTAACACTAGGACCAGACCAACAACTGTACCTTTGTTTCTCCAGTAAGCTCATTCACAATAGAAAGGTGTGTCCATATTTGTGTTTCATTGCCCTCCTTTTTTTGTTTTTGTTTTTTGGAGGAGAGCTTTGGTTATGAACTAAGAAATTGTTGGGGTGTTTTTATGAAGGTCAGGGGTAGTTTTATCAGTTAGCTCTTTGGCTTTTCACTAGAGCAGTTCTCTTTTTTATTTTGCTTTCATTAGCTCTTTTTTTAGCTCTACCTGTGGATAGTTTTGAGTTGTAGATGTTTATTTAATTTTATTTTATAGTTTATATTTTCTAATTGTAGCTATAATATTAGTTTATTTTTTTCTGATTTTTAGTTATTTTGCAAATGGATTGGAGAGGGCACTGAAATTTCATTTCTGAAGCACTGAAAGGAGTACACTGTTCAAAAAAAAGGGGGGGGGTCAGTGCTATATTTCCCATTCTACTGGCCCGAATGACAAAATTCAAACTGTTGTGTTTTTCATGTCTTGAAAGCGCCACTTAAGATATATATTAGATTTATATATAACACTATTCTAACATAGGTAGTTTGACACAAAATCGGACTTTTTCTGAAATAACATACCAATTTTTTTTCCATATTTCGATTCTACGACTCAAATTATGCCAGAATGCCAAATTTTGTAAAAATCGTATGAGTAGTTTTTAAAATAGTGGCTCTCAAAATTTTAGCTCCTCAATGTTAATTGAATTTGGCAAATATTTATTAATGTCTCTTTTTTTTTATTAAACTTTTTTTATTTTTCCTTTCACATTTCGAAATTTAGGTTCATTCCAAATCAAATTTACTCATTTTTTTGTGTTTTTATTTTTTAAATTTCTATTTTTAAATAATTTTTATAAATTTTTCGAAAAAATTTTAAAATTATAACCTATAAAATTTTTACCTTCATCTTAAAGTAGGTGTATTTCTAAGCATACGTGCAAAAAATTAGACTTTTTTATTCAAAATTTTCTAAGATATTCAAGAATTTACATATTTTCCCGTTTTGAAATTTGGCATCTTTTTTTTTTGAGCGATAATAACAGCAAATGTAGTTTTATGGATTTTTGTTAAACTGAATTGCCACAACTATTGTTAACCTTAAATTTCAAATAAAATTTTACAAGAGAATTAATTTTATGAAATTTTTCCCCTCAATGATGGCATAATAAATATTTATTAATACTATACAAAAAATTATTATTTTTTAAATTATAGATGATATAATTCAAATTTTTAACTATTTTTTTAAATTTCTCTCTTTCTTTTCCTTTTTTTAAAAATATGTTTTGTAAGAGTAAAAATTTTTATCTTTGGTGTTTTATCGTCTGCTACTTTACTGTAACTTCGTTTAAGTCGAATTGTCTAAAACTGAGAACTTTCGTTTGATGTGTATGTGAATTTTATGAAAATATTTTATGACATTAACTGCATAATTTATTTCTAAATAAGCTGTTGCTTACAAAGTGGCTGAAAGAGCAGCTGATACTATCATCCATATTTTTAAAGCACAGTATATTTTTATAGAATCATAAGATTTAGAATAATTCCTGGAACCTACTACAAAAAGTAAACGAAAACGGAGGACACAGAATAAAAAAAAAATACGTTTTACTCAAACAACACTAGCCAATACCACGCAGTCATTACTTTCAGTACTTTAGACACGTCCCTCTCTCCAATTTCTCCCCACACTTCTCTGAAATAATATCCTCCTTCACATACTTCGTCAAGGTCATTCTGGTGTTGCATTCCAAAAGTTGCGAATAATTTAACGGGTAGCAGCGCAAAGCAACTGATAGTATTTTGTAAGGGCGTATATATACGCCCGGGGCAGTTAACGCATCGGCTGAGCAAGGCGTATATATACGCCCGCGGCAGTTAAGGGGTTAAAGGAATTTAAGAAGTTTTTTTAATGTAAAAAATCAACTCATTTTTTATCCTAAAATGTATTTTTATGTGTAGCGTATTTTCATTATAACCTTAAAATTCTAATTTAGAATGTAATTGTCAAGAACTGAATTCTAATCATCAATAATATAATAAGTAATTATTACGGTTATTAAAAAATCCTTCTTAAAGTAATTGCAGATATTTCAAAAAACGTTCTGTCTGAAGGAAAATATTTTTCTATGCAAATATTTCTAATTTTATATTAATCAAGATTGCACACGATATTATTTATTTGCACTTCAATTCTTACCGTCAGCTCTAGTAGAAGTTACAAATCAATTATATTTAATTAAGGAATGACCATCTAAGTTTAGAAACAGCGTACAATTCAATTATTGGCGCCGTATCTTTCATGTTACTCCCGATTGGCAAGCTACATGATTTTTAATGAGTATTCGGGTTTTGCTAGTAACTTCTCTTGGAAATCGCGCTTAAACCAGGTTAGTTGGTTATTTGAACATAGAAAGAACATGGGAGCTATTTGGTTAAGATGCCTTCATGGAGAACCTTTGTAAAGAGAACCCAGAAAACTACGAAAACCAACCATGCAGCCTGTGTTAGACTTCGAAATAAACAATTAGTATTTAACAATCTTCAAATGCTAGGCAACTGGTGAGGCTCCAATTAAATCTCCAACTTAATATTTTATTTGTAAATATTTAAAATATTGTTGTATTCTTAGACACAAAAAGTAGAATTTAAGTTTTGCTAACTCGTTAGTAATTTACCAAGCCGAGTCCAAATGAATATTCAATTTCTTTTGCAATAATTGTATTCACTTAATATTCTTGGAATATGAGCTAAAGAAGGAATGTTCTCGGAAGATTAAAGAAGTGTTTAAATCCAGTGATATTAGGTTTGGCTTACAAGCTCAGGATCAAAACGATTCTGCAATAGCCCTAGTAGTTGACTTGTAAATGGCTGTGAATTAAGCAGATGACTTTTAATCTTAGGCACAGCTTTAGTATAGCCCACCCGGAATTTTAAACAAAAAAAATATCGCCAAGAGCGGCGATGAATGATATGATCTGGTAACCCATACTATTCGCCAAACGCAATGTAAACAAGAGGAGGGAATTACGGTTACAGCTAATTTAGTAGTCAGTTACATTTATTCAATTTCAATACAAATTACCGACATATCCGTTTACTCAAAGTTTAATGCACGTGCCCTGTATTCTTACTTCTCCAGTAGGCCCACCAGCGGCCGAGCGGTAAAGACGCTGAACACTGGTAGTTCGGTCTGAGGTTCGAATCCCGCGAACGGGCTGGCTGCATGGGCGTTTTCGTGGTTTTCCCCATGTGTAACGTGTATACGAGCCAGTTTCCCTTAGAAAGTCCTCCACGAAAGGCATCCCTCCCTATAGGCAGATAGCCCTCGTGTGCTTTGCCATAATTAAATACACCACCACACCTTACTTTTCCAGTATAGATTTCTCTTAAAATTTGTCTCATGCTGTGTTGCAGGAGGAAATACAACATTTTAAATTAGAATTCTACTAAAATTAATATCTAAATACACAATTCGTAACGCTGTTATTGGCGATTGTTTAACGCTGAGATACCGTGAATACTATTTTGTATATATATTTTTGGCTACTTGAGGTGATATTTTTGCGTTTAGTTATTGCTTGCTCTAAAACTGCTGTTAGTGATGTTGTAATTAAATATCAGGAGATTATAAAGGAAAATTTAAGGTGGGAGTTTTCAAACAAGCGTAAAATTTTGGGAACAGATATTTTATGTATGAATTAACAATAGTATGAACTTTTTAGAGGATTTTTGATGGATTGTCGATTATTGAAGGATAACGTTTTCTGTGAAAAATGTAAGATACCATGCTGGTTAGTTAGTCAGAAAAA